ACAGGGCTGGGGCTTTGAACCAGGGTCAGTCAGTTCTGGAAACCATGCTGTTGATGGTTAAGCTGCAATTCTGGAAGGAACCCAGAAGACATGTTAAAGTGGGAAACAACCTGGGAGCTAGGAAGACCAAGAAATGCCAGCGCTCCTGCTATATATACCCCCAAGACATGTCTAGACCTGTGTTTCTAAGTCTTTCCCTTCAATTCTCTCAACCCTTGTCTATCCAACCACGGGCATCCCCAGACACTGCTCTTGCCGAGGTCCTTCACTTCACTGAAGCCAAAAGCCAGTTATCTGTCCTCATCTTATTTGGCCCATCAGCTCCTGGATTTCACTTCCCTAGTGGCTCAGCAGTAAAGAATCCACCTGCCAATGGAGGAAACTCAAGTTTGACCCCAGATTTGGGAAGATCCGCTGGAGGAGGAAAGGCTCCAGTATTCTTACCTGGGAAATCTCATGGACAGAGGAACCTGGTGTGCTACGGTTCATGGGGTGGCAAAGAGTCAGACGTGACTGACCAGCTGAGCGCACACGCACTCCTGCATTTCCTCCTACTTCCCTGATTAGTCCTTCTCTATTTTATTTGTTGATTCTCCCTCATCTCTCCAACCGCCAGACCTTTGGAGTGCTCCACCGCTCACTGCTTTTTCTCTTCTTATTTACCTTCATGGACTTGACGATACAATCCAGGCTCTACACTTTGATGACCAGCTAAATGCTGATGACTTTTTCAAATTTATATCTCCAGCCAGGCCATCCTCGTGCCCTAGGAATGCTCCCCATTCCTAGCCACATGCCTTCTTGATATTGCCATTTACTTCCTTAATAATCTTCTCAAACTGTACATGTACTGAATTGAACTTCTGAACTTCCATCATACCTGGTGGGTTATTCCCACAGCCTTTCCCATTTCAGTAAATTATAACCCCATCCTTCCAGTTACTTAAACCAAGGTTTTGGAGTTAACTGGGACTCCTCTCTTTTTCTCACAATTCACATCCGATATGTCACCATCTTTTGGCTTTTTCATCAAAATATTTTCAGCATTCAATCACTTCTATTTTATTATTAATCCAAACCATCATCTCTCACCTATATTATTGTTGCAAAATCCTCCCATCTGGACTCCATGTTTCTACTCTTTTCTTCTTATGGCCTGTTTTCAACAAAATAGTTTAAGTGATTCAGTTAAAATGAGTGTCATTCGGGGGCCCGTGCAGAAACAAAGCTGGCCCCAGATTAGTGAATTCTTCTCCCACTGAAAAGCCTTTCATGAAGGGGCCACTTACAACAGATGAACAACAAGGTTAAGGAAACAAACAAGATAAAATGAGTATCCAGAGACTGGCAATACAGGAAGCTATTGCATCCTTGGGACTGAACACTCAAGGAGAGGACATACTGTATCACTTAGGACTAGGACCCTGGGGAGAAGTCCCCCATCAGAAGATGTAGTAGAGGAAGGATGCAGCTGCTTCCAAAAACAGCACCAAAGAGGGAAAAGAGTGGGTAGGAAATAACCTGACCACTCTCTCTTCTCATTTTCTGGTCTCCTTTTGTGGTTGTTTAGTCATTCAGTCATGTCCAACTCTTTGCAAACCCATGGACTGTAGCCCGCCAGGCTCTTCTGTCCATGAAATTCTCCAGGCAAGAAAACTAGAGTGGGTTGCCTATTCTTTCTCCAAGGGATCTTCCCCGACCCAGGGATTGACCCTTCATCTCCTCCATTGACAGGTGGGTTCTTTACCACTAAGCCACCAGGGCAGCCTGCTGCCTTCCCTCTTAATCATACCTTATGGAACCTCGAGGATATTACCTAGTTCCTTTATTTCTAGCCATCAGCTTTCTCCTTTATTTCCATTTTATGCTGCACTATTGCCAAATATATTTTGCTCCATAACTGGATATAAAATTTTTGCCTTCTGAGACAGCTCATTCCTTTTGTGAAAAGCAGTCCTGCTTCTTAGGATGAGCCCAAGTCTGCTTTTGTTCATCCACTTCTTTATTTGTTCACTCAATAAATATTTGTTGAGTGTCTACCATGTGTCAGGAATAGGCCAGGTTCTAAGATTATAGCAATGAATAAGGTAATAAGTTCCTACTCCTAAGAAACATAGAATCTAGTGGGGAAGACAGATATTAAACAAATAATTATTTAATAACAATCAAAGAAAAGAAGAAGAATATGGGCTACGAGAGCATTAAAGAGGGGACCTGGTCTAAAGAGTCAATTGTCATGAAGGGAAATTTAAGCAGGGAACCTGAAAGATGAGTAGGAATCAGGGACGCCAAGAGTAAGGGGTTTCTAGATGGGGAGGGGGAGTAACAGCGGACAGAAGCTAGTGTCTCCAAAGCAGGCAGAAAAAGTTCTCCATTGTGGATGGAGTACAATTCCTGAAGTGCTCGTGTGAAATGTGGTTGGGAGGTGAGCAAAGACTAGATTTGTGTGCTTGTTGTGTCAATGACTCGGAAACATAGTACATCCTAACAGCCAACTGAGAGCCTAGAAGCTAATGAGTTTGTGGGGATTTTATCATGTAATCCAGGGGTGGTAATAAAGACCCATTCTGAGGACTCTCAGTGGGAATCAGTTGATGAAAGCTATTAAAATAGCTGTTGATAGGATTTTACACTATTGGGAGATCAAGGAAAACAAAACATCTCCTTGATTTTAGACTTTAACCTTATAAACCGACAGCATGACTACATATGTACATAACTAAAGAGAGAAATATTTTAATTTCTCTTGGCTTAGAATCTTTTGGGAGAGGGCAGTTAAAGTTTTAAGGTAGAAACTATATTTTTTTACTGAAAGAGGACCATGAGCTCTTCCTGCTTAGGTAGATTTTTGTTTGCTTTCATTAAACTTCTTTTCTAATCTTTTAATCTGCTGACACCAAGAATTGTTGCACTTTGCACTACTCTGTGCGCTATACTTGTCTATGTCCGTTTGACTTGGGTATCTTCTGAATACATTTAATTTGTTCAGTTTTCTCTTTGGGGGAACCAGGGAAAGCTAATATTCCTGCTTCCTCTGCATTTCTAGCTGATATCTCAAATGTGTACCCATTTCAGTCCTACATGAAAACATCCCTAATTAGCAGGGTCTATACTTGTTTTTCCCCTTTTCTTTAATTTTATCTTAAGTAGTACTTTGAGCTAAGAAGAAGAAGTATAAAATCAAAGTGAAAAAAACTTTAGCCTGTAACAATGTTATAGCCACAATTTTTTTTTTTAAGTCTGGCTAACCAAGCCAAATATTAAACCCTGTTTTCTTAGGAATTTCAGATATTCCAATTCTTTGATAACAATGAGATTCACAAGGTGGTTTTTAGCTTGGTACACACAAAACATTTTGTGTTGACACTATTTCAGCAAAGAGAAGGCACATGTTCTGTGTAGGAAAAACTACTGTCTCTAACCCTGGAGAATAACTGAATCTGGAGGATAAACCAAGGTGAATTGGTTGACTTGAGCAACCTAGAACTGAGGCTAGTATGATGCACAGACTCCAGAAGTTTTTGTTTCATTGCATTTAATGATTGTTTTTATATTATTAATATTTTTCCAACAACTGTACAGTATTGATGCAAAAACCCATATGTATACTATTTCATACACACTAGGGTGGTGATAATCAAAATGACAGGCAATAACAAGTATTGAAAAGAATGTGGAGAAATAGGAACCTTCATACATTGCAGGTGGGATTGTGAAAGGGTGCTGCCCTTTTGGGAAACAATTTGGCAATTCCACAAAATGTGAAGCATGAAGTTACCATGTGACCCAACAATTCTACTTCTGGGTATATGACCAAGAGAACTGAAAACATAAGTCTACTCCAAAACTTGGGCATGAATGTTCATAGCAGTGTTAGTCACAACAGTCAAGAAGCAGAAACAATCCAAATGTCCATCATTTGATGAATGGAAAAAGAACATGAGGCATATTCCAACTGTAGAATATTATTCAGTAATGAAAAGGAATGGAGTACTGATACGTGGTAAAAAAAGAAAAAAGGCTGAACCTTGAAAACATTATGCTAAACAAAAGATGCTAGACATAACAGGCCACATATAGTAGGATGATTCTATTTTTATGAAATGTCCAGAAAGGTAAATTTATAGAAGGAAAAATTAGGTAAGTAGTTATCAGGGCCTGGGAAATATGTAGAGTGACTACTATTGAGTCCTGGGTTTCTTTTGGGGGGTGATAGAAATGTTCCAGAGTTAGATAGTAGTGATGGTCACAGAATCTCATGAATATACCAAAATCCATTGGATTTTATATTTAAAAACAGTGAATTTTATGGTATGTGAGTTTTACCTAAGTAAAATAGATTTTTAAGAGCCATTACACAGGATAAATATAAACATGTTTATTATCAGACTTTACATGTTTGTAAAGTTGTGTACAATAAGTTAATTACAATAGTTATTAAGTACAATATTTGTGTATTTGTTAAGTACAATATTTGTGATTGTAGACATTTGTTGTTTAGCCACTAAGTTGTGTCTGACTGTTTTACAACCCCATGGACTATAGCCCACCAGGCTTATCTGTCCATGGGATTCTCCACACAAGAATTCTGGAGTGGGTTGCCATTTGTTTTTCCAGGGGATCTTCCTATCTCAGGGATTGAACCCACATCTCCTGCTTGGGAGATGGATTCTTTGCCACTGAGCCACCTGGTAAGCCCAGGTATGATATAAGCTTAATAAATACATACTTAAAAAATTTAAAATCATAACTTAAAATACTTGTACTGAATTAAGACTTATGGCATTTATACTATATTCAATGCAAGCAAAAAGAATGCAACCTCTAAAAGCACTTTAGTTCTTAGTCGTTCAGTAGTGTCCTACTCTGTGACCCCATGGACTGTAGCCCACCAGGCTCCTCCGTCCATGGGATTTCCCAGGCAAGAATACTGGAATGGGTTGCCATTTCCTTCTCCAGGGAATCTTCCCTACAAAGGTATTGAACCCACATCTCTTGCATCTCCTGCAGTGGCAGGCAGATTCTTTATCACTGTGCCACCTGGGAAGGTAAAAACACTTTAAAAAACACTGAATCCCACAGGGATCAAAGTGATTGAGACTGAACTTGCTGTGCTAAATAGAATTTCCACTATTAACAACTTTTCACATGTCATCACCCCGTGGCATTAAACTTTTGTCATTTCCCCCCAAGTCTATTAATAGAATATCTATGACCAGTTTCCTCTACATTCTTGACAATTATTATTCCTCCCCATGACAGCAACTACAGAGTCAGCAGCTGAAACACCATGAGGGACAAAAGAAAGAAACAGTGCCATTAAATATTGTATTGCCCCACAAAATTTCAAAGTGAGTGAAGGGTGAGTTAGGAAAGGAATTCTGAGATTCTAGACCCTTAGTCTCTTTGCTTTTGCATGGACAAGAATATCCCTTCCTTCCAGTAGCCAGTGCTGGAAAGGAGAGAATTGTCTTTTTTGGTAGCAGACTGGACTTGAGAATTGTCTTTTTTGGTAGCAGACTGGACTTGCTCGTTGGATTTTGTCCACTGAAGTCCTCATGGGTACCATGGCCCCACCTGTAAATGTAGCCAGTGGATGCAGTAGGAGAGAAGAGCTGGAGACCCAAGCAGACCTCTCTGTCTCTGCCATCTTCAGGGTATTGCTCTCGTTCCCTAATTTGCTTGTGCTCCTGCAATAAGAGTGCATGACATCAGGATCCTTAACATTTTGCATACTAACAGCAACAACAAAATTCCCCTTCTAGCACAGACAACTGTGTGTACTCTCACAAGGCTAGCCCAAATATGAACAGCAAATATGAACACTGTCCTATTCAGTTGGGATAGTGAAACTATTCTGTACAATACTGTAATGATGGATACATGTCATTATATATTTGTCAAAACCCATAGAATATACAGACCCAGGACTGAACCCTAATGTAAACTGTGGGATTTAGTTAATAATGATGTATCAAAACTGGCCCATCAATTTTAACAAAATACCATACTAATATAAGATGTCAATAATAGAGGAAATCAGAGGGTATGAGGGAGGTGTGTTGGAACTCTGTTCTTTCTACTGATTTTTTCTGTAAACCTAAAACTGCGTACATAAAAATGTCTATTAATTTAAAAAAATCTATTCAGAGGCGACTGGAACCTTCCAAATTCTCACAAAGCAAAGCAGAGTGTTTTTCAGAATACAGATTTTAGAGCCATACCACCTGAGTATGATTCCTGACTATATAACTTAATAGTTTCGAGATTTTAGGCATTACTCAACTTCCCTGTGCCTCATTTTCTTCATATATATAATAATAAATACAATAGCCCTTATCTCATAGAATTCCTAGCTTAGAGTGGTTCCTAGAACATAGTAAGTGCTATAGAATGGTTAAATATCATTATTATTATTAATTTTCATAAATGAAATTACTCAATGAAGGCAAGATTCTTGTTCCTTTCCTCTTCTACAAAAAGAAAGAAAGAAAGAAAGAAACAACTTTCCATAAAATAACACCAAGGTGGTGATTTCCCCCCTAGAAACTAGCAGGTTTGGAGGGTTCAAAGAACAATAGAATATGTGGAGAACATGTCTTTTTTTCAAAACCATATGTGATTTTCAAATCTCACCTGATTCCTTTGGACTTAAATTAACTCAGAAGGTGCTGGGTAGCATCCATCTGATTTCAGGCTTGAGCAGCTGCTGTGGAACACATGAGAACACCAAGGTAAAGCATTGGTTTCCAACATGAAGAGAAAAATGTGTAAAATGTTCAATGGCATGCTTTACATTTAGGTTGGTACCAAAGTATTTGTAGTTTCGGACTGTGAATTTTAAATCATAACTAGGCTCAAACACATCATTAGCAATCGAAAGAAGAACCATTACAATCAACGTGTTTTTGCCAATGAGAAATAGGTTGCTCTATTCCTGTAGCATAAAAATTTGTGCTTTGGTATTCAGTGAACTCTTGGCAAGGATTTTCTGCCTCAGGCTGGTTGTAGAAGCGTTTTCCCTGCAAAAAGTTGTAAAGCTGCTTAATGAAGTGCTAGTTGGTTGACAAGAGGTCAGATGAATATGGTGAATGAGGCAAAACTTCATAGCCCAATTTGTTCAACTTTTGAAGCATTGGTTGTGCAACATGTGGTCCAGCATTGTGGAGAAGAACTGGGCCCGTTCTGTTGACTAATGCTGACTGCAGGCATTGCAGTTTTCGGTGCATCTCATCAATTTGCTGAGTATACTTCTCAGATATAACGGTTTCACTGGGATTCAAAAAGTTGTAGTGGATCAGACAGGCAGCAGACCACCAAACAGTGACCATGACCTTTTTTTTTGTGCAAGTTTGGCTTTGGGAAGTGCTTTGGAGCTTCTTCCTCGGTCCAGCCACTGAGCTGATTATCATATAAAATCCACTTTTCATCGCATGTCACAATCTGATTGAGAAATGGTTTGTTGTTGAGTAGAATAAGAGAAGACAACAGTTCAAAATGATGATTTTTTTTTTTTATTTGCGGTCAGCTCACTTATTGAACCTTGTCACCTTCCCAACTTGCTTCAAACGCCGAACGACCATAGAATGGTCAACATTGAGTTCCTTGGCAGCTTCTCACGTAGTTAGTTGCTAGAGCATCAGCTTTGGTGATGCTTTCAGTCTGTCAGTGTCAACTTCCGATGGCCGGCCACTATGCTCCTCATTTCAAGGCTGCCTTCTTTGCAAAACGTCTTGAAACCACCACTGCACTGTATGTTTATTAGCAGTTCCTGGGCCAAATGTGTTGATGTTGCAAGTTGTCTCTGCTGCTTTACAATCCATTTTGAACTCGAGTAAAAAAATCGCTTTAATTTGAGTTTTGCCTAACGTCATTTCTGTAGTCCAAAATAGCAAGTTTGATGCATGAAGCAGGGCACTCAAAGCTGGTGCTCTGAGTAGGGGGATTCAGGATGGGGGGACACATGTGCACCTGTGGGTGATTCATGTTGATGTATGGCAAAAACCACCACAATAGTGCAAAGAAATTATCCTCTAATTAAAATAAATTAATTAATTTTAAGAAAAGAGCAAATAGGAACAGAGAAGGAAACTATTGCTCTTCATTATAAATAAATAAATAAACAGCAAGTAATGCCATTAGCAGGGCTTTCCTGGGGCACTAGTGGTAAAGAACCTATCTGTCAATGCAGGAGACATAAGAGATTCAGGTTCGATCCCTGGGTTGGAAATATCCCCTCCACTATTTTTGCCTGGAGAATCCCAAGGACAGAGGAGCCTGGTGGACTATTGCCATAAGGTTCCAAAGAGTCAGACACAGCTATAGTGACTAAGCACACACAATGTCATTAGCAAAAACACATACAGTGAGAAATGTGCATTAAAATAATGTATAACATAACCACATTTATTTAAGAATGTATTCCAATATCAAACAGCAAATTTCAACAGGACAAAACCGTAATTACTTTTGCACCAACCTAAATTCAAGAATGCAGCTTACCTGGTAGGAGAAAATTTTTTTGCTGCAAGAGAAAGAGAACTATTAATTTGGGCTAAGTAACTTTCAAGGACATTTTAAATCCTGAAACAGTATGACTCTATTTATCAGGGATTGCAAACTCAAGGCCTTCAAGGCCCCTATAGTTATCAGAACACAAACATATCAGACAACAGGGCAGGGTGAATGCAAAGTGTACATTCATGCAAAGGGCACGGCAGCTTCCTAAGGCAAGCAGATAGCCCATAGGCTCCACCTGCCAAGTTTGTCCATCTTCCAGTTGGTCATGAGAAATCTCAAATCTGATTTGACATGAAATTTCCTATTTTGTGTCAGAATTTAGTTCAAAAAAATTTAGTTCAAAAAAATTTAAAGACTCTGTAGGCCAAACAGATCAGGAGTATGGCTAGATGTGTCTGCATATTCTTTGTGTGTGCTTAATCGATCCATCGTGTCCAACTCTTTGTGACCCTGTGGACTGTAGCCCACCAGGCTCCTCTATGATTTTTTCCTGGCAAGAATACTGCATATTTCCTGAGATGCTCCCAAATTTAAGCCTGTATTCCAAATACAATTTTTGGAAACATTTTCTTCATTTTCCCAGGACCACTAATTATGGCAGCCTCGGTGTAGCAACTCCTCAGACATAGCGTTCAAAGTGAATAGCATCCCCTGGAGTTGTACAATGTTAGCATACTAACATTTGTATGTTAGTATCTTTTCCTAAGATTTCTGCTTATTTATCCTGCAGTTTATTTGTGTTTATCATTAAATGACTAGTGATTTGCTTCTAATTACTTTGTAAATCTGTGAGAGACAACATGACTCATCAATGAGAAAAAAAATTTTTTTTCAAAAACCTTTTCGGAGTACATTCATAAATGTCCTCACCTTTCTTCCGAAGGCGTTTCAGAAGCCAGAAGAAAAATGATGATATTGTCACAAGGGAGACTCCAGCAGTAGAAAGTCCAACTGCCAAGGGAGTTTGGGACACAGTGGGAGCTAAGGAAACAGAGGATGAACGGTCATGAGAAGGAATTAAATTTAAATCTTCCCGTTCTGTCCATTTGCCCTTTTCTTTGTACACTGGTTATAATGTGCAAAGCAGAAGAGTCATCTAGTCCAATACATGAGGCAGAGACATGGTACTAAAGGCCTTTGAGATCAGCCCAAACCTCTTTGTGAGCTTACCTCCAGCACGGGCAGGCAGAGCTCTAACTTGCCAAGCTTTTACAGCACACTTTGGTTAACCTCTGTCTCTCTTTCTCTTTTTCACTCATTTTCCTTTTCTCTCCCACTTTTCCCACTAGCTCTCCTTTCTCCAATTATCTAAATTCCATCAACATGTCACTCCTGTTTTCCCTCTTTCCCATAAAATGAAATATCCACCCATTAAATGTTAACCTGGGTAACCTTTCTGACCTTCCTGGTTTGGACATACCGGATAGTTCATTACTGTAGCCAGATAGCTTCCTTTCTAAGCTCCCTTTCTTCTCTCTGATTCCCCCGCCCCAGACAGCCAGCATCACTCAGCGCTTCACCTTCACAGGTTGGCAGCATCCCAGACCAGTGTCCTGTGGCACCGCACGTCAGCACTACAGAGCCGTTGAGCGTCCATCTTTCAGGACATGCAAACCTACACTCAGTGCCAAGCACGGGCTCCCCACTGCAGTTCATGCTGAGCTTTCCAGAAACGTCCAAACGTGAACATCGTACCACTGAAAATGATAGGATATGGGTAGCAGTTAAGAAAAATCCACTGGAAGACTTCTAAAACTGACAAAGTCACCAATAAGTCTAAGTACTACATAGTTTTCAGTATGGAGGAAATTAGAATCGAGTCCTTTGGGGAAATCTGCAAAGCAGATAAATTTTATGTGGCTGCCTCTTCACTGGGTTTCCCTAGTGACTCAGTTGGTAAAGAAACTGCCCTTAGTGCAGGAGACCCAGGTTCGATCCCCAGGTCAGGAAGATCCTCTGGAGAAGGAAAAGGCAACCCACTCCAGTACTCTTGCCTGGAGAATTCCATGGACAGAGGAGCAGGGCAGGCTGCAGTCCATGGGATTGCAAAGAGTCGGACACGACTCTGCCTCTTCATTAGTCCCCGGACAAATGGGAAGACTGCTGTGTTTTCTTTGAATTTCTGTCCTGCTGTTGACAATGGTACTAGACAGCCTTTTACAGGACCAATACTCCCGTTCTGACCTGTGATGAAGTTAGGGTCAGGAGAAAGATTTTAGGTAGTCAGGGAGCAACTTATGAGTCTTGAGTACTTAGAGATGAGGCCAAAAAGAAAGGAAGATAAGCAGGCAGCCACATCAAATTTATCTGCTTTACAGTTTGGTTTTTGTCTTGTGGTTTTCTGCCACTAGAAATAACTCTGTGCTGTATTTGGCTACAAAAATGTTAGCACCTGGTAGTGAAACCTGCTTGTTTTCAACATCCTTGCTCTTGCTTTATTAAACTAAATTTTAGTGCTTATGTATGTTTTAAGGGTGTCTCTAACTGAGACCATACTAGAAACATTTTCATCACTGCTAGTTATGAGCAGTTTCAGAAGAAGGGCATGATAACAGTTTTAGAGTCAGATCATAAGGAGAAGTGGGTGGCAGAGGATGAGTTGGTTAGATAGCATCACCAACTCAATGGACATGAATTTGAGCAAACTCCGGGAGATAGCGAAGGACAGGGAAGCCTGGAGTGCTGCACTCCATGGGGTCTCAAAGAGTCAGACCCGACTTAGCAACTGAACAGCAACAGCAACAACATGTTCTCATAATTCTATTTTGTAAATTTTCTAATGTGATTTCCCTTTAGATTAAGATTTCTGCTTACTTGATGCCAATGTTTATAAAGTTGTATATATTTATATATTTGAGTGTGTGCTCAGTTGTGTCAGATTCTTTGTGATCCTATGGACTGTAGCCCCCTGGTGACTCTGCAACAAAGAATCCGCCTGCCAGGGCCAGAGCCCAGGATTCAATCCCTAGGTTGGGAAGATCCCCAGGAGGAGGGCAACCCACCCCAGTATTATTGCCTGGGAAATAACATGGACAGAAGAGCCTAGCGGGCTATAGTCCATGGGGTTGCAAAGTTATGTTAGTCGAGGACAATTAAGAAGCCAGCAAAGCATCCACTCTTATTCCACACAGTCCTTTCCCTGGACAAGCATCTGTTCTTTTATATGCATCTCAAAAACATAAAATGATTGTTGCCCATCAGATCTGATTATTATAGTTAATAATGTAGGCATCTGGTTTGATTTTAAGTGCCCATGTTCGCAGACTGCTGTTCTTTGAGAAAGGAGACTCTCAGGCTTACCTTCACAAACCGGGACCTGCTGTGTCCATTGTCCCTGGGCAGTGCATTCAACCTGGGGTGGCCCCTGCAACACGAAGCCCTCTGTACAAGCGAAGTGGCAGGATGACTTGAAAGCGAACTCTCCAGCCGAGGAGTGGCGACAGTTCACAGTGCCATTCTGAGGATGGCTGATGGCTGCACACGTCACAGCTGCAACACATGTCCCAGTTTACATTAGCAGGTCAGGCTTGCCCATTTGGAGAAAAGTTTGAGATGTTACAGTAAATCTTGATGTGGAACCACCTTACCTTTACATGTTGGCTGCTTGTTGTCCCAAATCCCAGAGGAGGTACACTGTAGGTGCTGGGGTCCAGTGACTTTATATCCTTCCTGACACTCAAACGTACAGGTGGTGTTCCATGGGAGGCTTCCATGGTTTTGGGAACAGTTTACAGCTCCGTTGTCCGGATTTGACAAAGCATCACACTTAACCACTAGGGATTTGAAAATGAAATTTTACAGAGGAGTGAGATATTCACTTCTTATTGAACTGGAGTTTATAACACAGTAAGGAAACTACCTCCAGAGGGTAGAACTCGAAGGCCGAGGTTAACTTCTGGGTACAAGCACACTCACAATAAAGTTGTTACGTTTTTTCCTTGATATTTTTATTCTCTCTGATTGACTTTGACTATGCTAAGTGGTTCCTGATCATTTTACCTGGCTTACTTTACAAAAGGCAAAAACAAAGAAAAATAGCAGATTCTAGATCAGGATTTATGACTAGTTGTGATTCAAAAAAAAACAAATCCCAGCATGCACAGAACATTCATTTATTTTAGCCCGGCAAGACCTGGAGGATGGAGAAGGAAATGGCAACCCACTCCAGTATTCTTGCCCGGGAGATCCCACAGACAGAGAAGCTACAGTCCATGGGATCACAAAAGAGTCGGACATGACTTGGCGCCTAAACAATAAGACCTGGAGGAAAGAGTTTTTCTGTCTTTGGTCTAGAAAGATAAGACAGAGAGAAAAGAATATATTGAGGTTGTTTGGTGATCATGATATTCCATGGTCCAGTTGCATGGATGAAATTAAACAGAAAAAGGAGAGAGGAAGTCATTCAGATTTTGAGAGGGCAGTTCCACAGTTCTGTGTTCCCTTACATATCATGAGAGCCTCAGAAACACTCATGTCAAATACAGGATCAAAACTTTTCTCAAGGCCAGCTGATACCATATTGGCCCTATCTACACTGGCTGAGAGAACAAGTTGAATTAGAACTTGTTTAATTAGAACAAGTTTAGAAGGAACTTTCCATGAAGTGCTGAAAATGGCATAAGTTGGATAAAAACCAAGGGGATGAGAGATGGATTGGAGAATGTTCTGTGCTTTCTGAGAGAGACTTACCATTGCAGGTTGGGAGAGGAGCGCTCCATTCTCCAGAGGACGTGCACCGCGTGGCCTCCGTGCTGCTCGGGAGGTAGCCCTCTGCGCAGCTGACGGAGCAGGAAGAGTTGTAGCTGAATTTCCCCAAAGGGTTGCAAACCAGATGTCCATGCTCAGGATGTTTCTGTGCCTGACAGGTCACAACTGAAAAAGGAAAACAAATCAGTTCTGCTCCTCTCTCACCCTGTCTCACGTGGGAAGAACCCTGGAAGCCAGAACTATCAGTCAGTCAGTTCAGTCGCTCAGTCGTGTCCAACTCTTTGCGACCCCATGAACCGCAGCACACCAGGCCTCCCTATCCGTCACCAACTCCCGAAGTCCACCCAAACTCATGTCCATTGTGTTGGTGATGCCATCCAGCCATCTCATCCTCCATCATCCCCTTCTCCTCCTGCCCTCTATCTTTCCCAGCATCGGGGTATTTTCAAATGAGTCAGCTCTTCGCATCAGGTGGCCAAAGTATTGGAACTTCAGATTTCAGCATCAGTCCTACCAATGATCACCCAGGACTGATATCCTTTAGGACGGACTGGTTGGATCTCCTTGCAGTCCAAGGGGCTCTACTATTTATCAAATGTCAGGCACCAGGCTTCCCAGGTGGCACTAGTGGTAAAGAACCTGCCTGCCAGTGCAGGAGACAAAAGAGACCTGGGTTCGATCCCTAGGTTGGGAAGATTCCCTGGAGAAAGGCACAGCAACCCATTCCAGTATTCTTGCCTGGAGAATCCCATGGACAGAGGAACCTGGTGGGCTACAGTCCGTGGAGTCGCAGTGAGTCGTACATGACTGAAGCGACTTAGCAAAGAACAGGCACTATGAAAATGTCGTGTCTGCATTTGTTCACATCATCCAAACCACAAGCCTATGAAATTGATACTCTATTGTCCTTGTTTTACAGTGAGAACCCGGGACTTGAGAGTTTACCTCTGTTGTCAAGGTGCCGTAACTACTAAGTGGTAGATCTGGGATTCAAACACAGGAGGGTCTGATTTCACAGCTTCAGCTCTTAACCTCCTTCTGACTCCATATGCTCCAGGGAAGGGAAAGCATGCAGACCTGACACCAAAACCAGCTAGGACGTAAAATGCTCCTACCATCTCGGGCAAAGGAAAAGTTGAGACCAAGCCTTACCTTGCTCACATTTGAGGCCCTTGAAGCCAGGGTGGCACTGGCAAGTGTAGTTGTTAATGGTCTCTACACATTCACCATGGCTGCTGCAGGGTGTGGGGGTACAGGCAGCTGTGGAAAAGACAATCCGTGATGACCCTTGCTATTATACTTCAACTGAGTTTCTTTGAATTTAGGATCAAAGATGTGTAACAGGGATGTCACCAATGATACAGAATGTCAGAGAGTTTAATGGAGGTGCTTGATGAAATGCCCAAGCTGAGTTTTAAGCTCAAAAATTTCAAACCCTGATGTTAATATCAGAGGTAGAACTGTAACTGGCACCAAAATAGAAAATTCACTTTATCACAAATTTAAAGAGAATTCTCCTACTGCAAATAAATAAAAGGTAACTAAAAAGTATATTACATGTGTGCATGCACACTGTATTAAGTATATGGTGGCTTAGTTGCTAACTCATGTCTGATTCTTTGCGACGCCATGGACTATAGCCTGCCAGGCTCCTCTGTTCATGGGATTCTCTAGGCAAGAATACTCGAATGGGTTGCTATTTTCTCCTCCAGGGGATCTTCCGCACCCAGGGATTGAACCTGAATCTCCTGCATTGCAGGTGGTTTCTTTATGACCCAACTGAGTCACTGGGGAAGCCTATATTTATGTATACATATGTATGTAGGTCTATACTTATATATGGCTTCCCTGGTGGCTTAGTAGGTAAAGAATCTGCCTGCAATGCAGGAGGCTCAGGTTCAATCCCTGGATGGGGAAGACCCCGGAGAAGGAAATGGCAACCCACTCTAGTATTCTTGTCTGGGAAATCCCATGAACAGAGAAGCCTCGTGGGCTACAGTCCATGGGGTCACAAGAGTCAGACACAACTTAGCAACTAAATCACCACCATACATAAACACATACATTCTTAACTACATTCACACAAAGAAGCAAAAAGAGGCAAGTTTCAGGTGTTTAAATATTTCAAATACATTGTTTGAAAACTGTATCTTTTTAGAACATAAAATCCACACAATAGAGACCAGTTTTTGTATACAGTCAACAATCTGCCAAGATGCTCATACACAACATCTCCCTCCCACTGCTGCCGCAGACTCCTTACCTTTATAACACAAGGCTAGCTTCCTTTTGGTGCATCTCTCATCATTCCACTTGCCTGAGTCCTTTGCTCTCTTAATGTAGATCTCTACACAGTCCTCATCACTTTGCTTATTGTTTGGTTCACCTGGAGCCCAGTTTGTGGCTTCTTTGGTCAAAGACTTATTGGTCCCTATCCAGGTCCATATATCGTTGATCTTTCTGATTCCAATCCAGTAGTAACTTGGTGAATGGCTGAATGTGGAGTTCAGGTATTTAATCTCTTCCTGGTTTTGAATTGCAACTAGAGCTGTGTAAGTTTTCTGGCAATAATCTCTGGCCTCCTCAAAAGTCATGTTTTCCTTGGATGCATGGTAAGACCAGGTTCTACTTTCTTTAAACAGCAGAAGCACTAAGGGGGGAAACATGAAAGGAATGGGAAAGTTTAGCCCTGCTGTGGTTTGACTCTGTTAGCTGAATCTTTTGTTGTCATATTTTTGGCTTCTAGTGGCCATGGTGTGCGTGCCTGCTCAGTCGCTTCAGTCATGTCTGACTCTTTGCGGCCCCATGGACCACAGCCCGCCAGTTTCCTCTGTCCATGAGATTCTCCAGGCAAGAATACTGGAGTGGGTGGCCATGCGCTTCTCCAGGGGATCTTCCTGACCCAGGGATTGAACCCAGGTCTCCTGCAGCTCCCACATTGCAGGTGGATTCTTTACTGCTGAGCCACCAGAGAAGCCCCCTGAAAGCCCCCAAAGTATGCTCCTTTGGGATGATTCAATTTTTTTTCCAAAGTAAGAATGTTTTGGAAAATGTTTTTCCAAAGTAAGAATGGGTACGAATGGAGAAACTACCATTTACTGTGTTTCTCTCTTGTAATTGACCTTCCACTTAGTAAGCTACCATTTACTGTGTTTCTCTTTTGTAATTGACCTTCCACTTCCAATTCACCCACTATAACCTATCAATACACCTACCTAATAGTAGAATAAAAATCAGAATAAGCTTTTTTGATCACTAAATATGCACCACCAAGCACTGTCTGAGGCACTTTACATGAATCATGATACTGAACCCTCCAAAGGCCTCTGGGAAATAGATTATTTATGACCATTCTTTATACCTAAGGGAGCTGAGACACAAAGAGGTAAACGGCTCCTAGCCGAGGGCACAACACATTATGAGGAGGAACCCAGGATGCTGCTAAACAACCTACATTACACTTGGCAGCCGCCTACAAGGAAAACTTATCTGGTCCAAAATGCCAGTAGTGCTAAGGATAAGAAACGTTAGTCTATCAACTGACGTTGACTTACCGAAAGTGAGAGCAGAGAGATACTGTGAAGCAATCATAACTTCAAGAGTTCTTTTGATCCAAAGATTAGACTTGAAAATGCTTTTCTGGGGGGGAAAGTACAAAATTAATTATAGGATGAACTCCCAGGCTACCAGATACCCAGATCATTCTACAATGATGTGTAGAGCAGCATCATAAGATGTTTAAAGGATTATAATCTTTTGCCACAAGGTTTATTTCAAAGAAGTTCGCCCAAAGGAATAAATACAGAAGTTAAGATTTTCATCATTTCAGTCAAAAAGAAAAGCCAGGTTTAAGTAGTCTGAATGCAATAAGAGCTTGCACAGATCTTCTGTGGAAGGCTTTTTGCAAATCTGTTCATATTCATGATCTGTGCTTCATGGTCAAGACTGTTCTTGTGAAGATTTTTTGCACTTACTATTCGGTGAACTGGTTGTTTCAGTACCAGATTCCTCCCGCGCGCTGCTGCTTCTCTTTTGTGCCACTCCTGCAGGTTTGATGTGAGGTCTGCCAAGAACAGTGGAGCTCTGCTTCTGCTGGAAGCATCCTTTATAGGATAGGGTGCTTCCTGTGAGTAATACAGATATGTCCAAACCCAGTAAAGAGGAATTCCCAGCAATTCCACAGTGCTAAAAATGACAATGATGTCAAAATGAAGTCCCCTTTTTATTTTAGATGAATTCTATTAATATGACACAGATGCACAGTTTTAATTCTATTAACATAAAATCTATGTCTTTAGAAAGTTTTAAAATGTGGCTCATTAGCGATCCTTTTCCTGAAATTGTGGTAGTAATCAGAATTTTATCAACTGAAGTGAACTAAGAATAGTGTTGTCATCTATGGGCTATTATTCTTGATTTTCTTACTGCATACCAGTCATTAATGGGTCATCACTCACTTTTTTTCCTCTTTCTCACCTGCCAACTCAACTCATTTTAAGGTACACTGTCTCACAGAGGTCATGTTAATCACGAAATAAATGTTAATCCTCAGATTCTATGCATAGTTTTGACTATGCATAGTTTAGTTTTGACTAAATTACTAGAAATATTATCTCCCACTTACATGTCTGAAATAATTCCTTGTTTCTTAAATATAACAAAAATGAGAAACAGACTTAGATATTCCATCTGGAAAGTGTTCGTGATTTGTTCAGTGAGAAAATAAAGATGAAGACTATACATATTTGTATTTAATTGAACCAAACTTGGTTTTAAAAAATTTTAAATGTGAATTGCAAAAAAAAAAAAAAAAAAAAAATTTTTAATGTATCAAAATGTCAACAGTAGATTTCCAGAGGGCAGGATTTAGGGGTTATTTTTATAAGTTTCATGATTATTTTCAGCATTTTCCAGTTTTTGCAATGACCCTCTATAACTTTTATAGTAAAATGAACACAGTTTAAAGAATTCTGTGTCAAATATAACTATATATATAGTTATCACCTTCATATATGTATGTATAATATCACTGATTCCTACTCTTTATATTGGCATTTCTTTTGGGGGATTATATACAATACAATCACCATTCCCCATCTCTGCATTCCATCTAATTCAAATGGTAGAGACAGTAAATGGGAATCTTTTAATTTCCATATTCTGTAGAGATCAAGTAAAGCTAAATTCTACAGTTAAACGACTTTAAAAAATAGGACACCTAACAATGTACTCTCAGCAGACATGAAGTAGTAGTGAGGGGGTTGAGGGGGACGTAACAGGTTTATTTTTCTCCTTACTTGTTAGTGCCCTGGTTCTTTCTGTGTACATAAAGACCTAAACCAAATAGGAAAAGAGAGGAAAAATTCCAATAAATACAACTGACTTAAAAAGTAAATGAATAACCCAGTTAGCTAATTTAACTCCTAAATATGCCCAACTTTTAACAGAAAATATATACCATCCACCCTCCCGCTGTCCTATGTTTTCCAGATGTTAGCATTATTTTAACTTTCTATCAAACTTTACTTTTGTAAATGTGGTTGTTGTTGCTCAGTAAATGTGGAAAGTAATCAGTCACAAGTGTTTGCTTAGATTTTAGAGAAAGATGTGAAGCTGGGTTAATATTAATGTTATTAATCTATATGTATGCTAATTTTTAATAAGTTGTGAACACATGATTTGTCATTTTAAAATGTGTACTGTAGGCAGATCTTTATCTGACACAATAATAAAGTACCTAATAATTATTTTGAAAATAGAAATTAGTCATAACAGCCTGAGATAACTACATTTACTATTATGATTTTTCATAACTAAATTAAGTTTGTCTTTTTCCTTTCTCATTAGTTCACAAATATCTAAAAATACCTCCAATGGTGGTACAGTCCCTATTTCATGTGCTATATATGTCCTGGACTCCCCAGTTATCATCTGTAGCATGTATGGAACCTTCACCATGTGCCAGGCCCTGTTCTGTTTTTTACATATTCATCTACATAATTATTTAATTCTTACAATAGCCTATGAAATAGGCACTCTTATGATCCCCATAATACAGATGAGGAAATTGAGGAACCAAGGATTTTACGGGTCTCAACTAAAAGCACAGAGCTAAGGAGTTGAAACCTGGGCAGTCAGTCTCCAGAGCCAGCTTCGTTAACTGCTCTATTCCAGTCTGTGGTTTCTCTTGTTATTTTGCCCCACAACGAGCCTCCCTATTCTTCCCAAGTCTCCAGTCTTCCCCTTGCCCTCTTCTTCCCAAGTCTCCAATCTCTTTCTTCTTCCCAAGAGCAGTGTGATAGCCCCAGCTCTCCCTCAGAGTGGCTGTGTCCTGAGTTCAGAGACACGAAGGCAGGAAGGGAACTAGGGGGCAGTGAGCAGTAGACAGAAGATACAGTGAAAGTAGACTCTAGGTTCTCAGCTGTGGGGGGAAAGTGGATGAAGAAAAAGCAAGGCAGGCTGAGCTACACCAGGAGAAGTTTCGATCCCTGTGTCACACTTTCCAGGAGATCCTGATTTTAAAGCAGATTCTCTCTATGGCTAAAGGGTGCAGGGATGTACCCTAATACCAAATAAGAAGGATATGAAAAATAAGGAATAGAAGTGATTGTGAGTAAAGGTAACTTATTATTATTGTTATTACCACCAGAAGTATAATATTCCAAACTCACTCACCCTTACAGTTATCCTGCATTCTCCCAGAATATTTTCCACTTGCGTGTCATCTGAGGTTGGGACCGCAAATCAAGTACCTGGCCACTAAGAGTGGGGGGGACTTTCTCCTGGCTGTAGAGTTGCTGAAAGAGGTGTAGACAGACCTCATTTGCCTCTCACAGAGAGATGCCAGCATTATGAGGGCCAGGAGTGGGCTGACAGCTGGACTATAGCTTCTTCACCTGCTTTTTTTGTATCAGAATCTGATGAAGGGCACCCTCACTTGGAGGATCGAAGAATGAGTTGAAGAGGAAGTCAGGTGAGCACTGAATAGCTGGGGGTGTTGAATATTATTTCCCCTTCCCCAAATGAACCTAATGCCCCCACATAGCAGGCTGATTAGAGGTGCCTCAAGGCCGCATGGAATCTCCCAAGCTCAGAAGATGCAGCTGGTTATTCCTGGATAGCTCCATTTTCAACCCTGGCCTCATATGGACACACCCTTACAATCTCCAACTTGGGGAGGCAAGGAGAAAAGGAAAGAAGATGATCCAAACACAGGCACACCTCGGGCTCCGTCCACCACCAGGGCTATTTTGTCTGAGGTGCCGCCCTTCCTGGCGTCATCATCACTTTCCTGAAAGTGCCTGTCTGGCCTCTCCACATCCTGTAATGGGGCATCAAGGACTTTAAACGCTTTTTCTGCTGCCCACCCAGGCAGACTCATTCTCATCTTTATGGTGAAGGGACATCCCTGAGGAAGTGAGGGAGAGCCGGAAGAGGATGTCAAGGTTCCCAAGGCAAATGTTAAGTTTTACTCAAGGCAATCCAGTTCATCTTCCATAGCAAAGGACAATAAAAGCTACAGACAATATTGTAAAGTAATTAGCCTCCAACTAATAAAAATAAACGGGGGAAAAAAAGAATAATTTTGAAGAAAAAAAAATAAAAGCTATGGACAGGAGATTATTGGGTTGAATGGGAAGTAGCATGGGTCGTAAGTACATTTAGCTTTGGTTCCTCAGTTCCCTCAGCTGAAAGGAACTAAGACGCATGGGCAGGGGCCTTCCTGAGGTTCTGGGTTCCCTCACCTCTGGGCAGTGTTTCGAGGTGCTTCTTTTTGAAAGCCTTGGTAACTTGCCCCCAAATTTGACTCCGCTCACATCTGAAGTACTTCTGTAGAGTCTAAGGTAGGGAGTGTGTGCGTGCTAAGTTGCTTCAGTTGTGTCCAGTTCTTTGTGACCCTTTGGACTATAGCTCACCAGGCTTCCCTATTCTTGGGATTCTCCAGGCAAGAATACTGGAGTGGGTTTCCATGCCCTCCTCCAAGGGATCTTCCCGACACAGGGATCGAACCTGGGTTTGATGTCTCCTGCTTTGGCAGGCAAGTTCTTTACCACTAGTGCCACCTGGGAAGCCCAAGGTAGGGAGGGGAAATCCTAATAAAGATTCCATCCAACTTAGAGTATACAAATATGGTATTTCTTGCACACTCAAAATTGTCAAGTAAAATTAATCAACAATGCGCCATCATGGTGTAGAATGGCATTTCTTGCATGATTGAAACATGAGTATATTTGATAGAAAATGAGTCTGGTTCCCTCTAAATTCATTCTGCAGAAGGGCATGTTCACTTTTTTAGCATGTGTAGCCTTCTCAAAACATCTGGGTCAGGTAGGAGCCTTGGGCTCTCAGTCTGCACTCCCAATCCTAGGAAGAAGTGGCGTTTTCAGACTTCTCTCATATGAAGAAGACTCACTTGAGCAGCTCATTTAAAATGCATATGTGGGGTTTCCCTGGTGGGTCAGTGGTAAAGATCTCTCCTGCCAATGCAAGAGACGGGGGTCTGGTCCCTGCTCCGGGAAGGTCCCACGTGAGCAGCTGAGCCTGTGCACCGCAACTACCAGGGTTGTGCTCCAGTACCTGGGAGCTGATCCTGTTGAGCCCACATGCCGCAGCTACCGAAGCCTGCACGCCTA